GGACATAAACTGGTGTACCCTTGGTCAGTCAGGATCTCACGCTGGGGAAGCCTACCCAGGAAAAAACCATGACCAGAGCCTCCGCCACCTTAGGAGCAGAGATGCTGGACAGGGTGACAGCCTCTGGGTAGCGGGTTGCATAATCCACTACAATGAGGATGTATCTTTTCCCCGACTTAATTCGGGCAGGCCAGTGTCCTGGGATGTCTACGGATACACTCTGAAACAGGGCTCTTTAATGATGGGCAAGGGAGGCGTAGCGAGGCCTTGGGGGTGTGTCCCCTGGGTGTCCCTTCCTCTGACAGTGTCCAAAGGTCCAGCAGAAGTGAGTGACGGACTGTGAGATATTACCTAGCCAATAAAATGGCTTGGGTCAGTCTCTGCTCTGTTCTCCTCTTCCCTAGGTGGCCAGCTACAGGTGATGTCATGGGCAATCTGGAGTAGTAGGGAACGCTAAACAGTATGAGCATCGACCAGTTGTTTTGAGGCAGCATGGGGCTGGCAAGGGCGGCTTGGGCCCCGCCCCCGGTGGTAGACTTGAGCGAAGTTCCTTGCTCCCACCAAAGTGGTCCCCACCCCCCTCCAGCTGTCCTGCGTCTGCCATAGGGCCCTAAGCCTTGGTCAGGGTGGGGTCTGTGTCTAACTCCCTCTTAAAAGGTCCCCCCACCAGGTCCCAGGTCAGGTGGTGTCTGGGTCAGCTGGGGGTCACTCACCGGAGTCCATGAGGGGAAAGGTCCCGTGGTAGTTTAGTCTGTGGGAAGACCTCGAACCTGCTTGGCTCCTGGTCACAGCCCGACCGTACTGGCAATGGAGCTCCCCAGATTGTTCCCGAGCAGGACATCCGCCGGGAGGCCACCCAGCAGCGCCAATCTGGACAACGTTGCTCCCATGAATCTATAATCAAGGCATACGGAAGCCCCCTGGGGATATGATGTACCTGGCTCCTCCCGCCAGTTTGATGGAGAATCTGGGGCCGGGTTGTATGGCTTCCGGCCTTATCACTCCGGGAGGATAGCTATGGTAAGGAAGGCCCCCCGTATCTCAGAAGCCTGGTAGCGGGGTGCCCGTCTACCCGAACGGCCTGCAGGTGGAGCTGCCTCCCGACGCAAGGTAAGTGGCTCCTGGGGGTGAACACTGTAGACTCCCCCAAGGGTTGCCGGCTTCTGGAGGGTTCATCCCATTCACTGGGGGTGGAGGCAGGGGCTCTTATGCAGGGTTCAGCTACAGCTGGTTGTATCCGTAGCAGCTGCGGTACAGGGTGCGGCCTCCTGTGAACCGGGCCGGTTATCTATGGAAGCCCCACGGGTTTTGCCACAGTGTGCCGGGGGGGGGCGCGCTTGGCCAGGGTGGCGGCAGGATTTGTACGGAGTGTGGCCGGAGATGGGTGGCGGGGGCCTTTGGCAGCGCGGAGACCCGTCTCTTCCAATGGGGTTTGATGGCAAGGACCTCATCGGCCAGGTCAGCGGCCTTCATCAAGGGTGGTCAGGGGCTCTTTCCTTTTACCCATCCACGCACCTCGCAGGGCATTGAGCATAAAAATTGTTCTCTTCAGGAATGCCTAAATAATTTCCTCTGAGGTGCGGGCCTGCTCCCTTCTAGCCACCGCCAGCAGGACTGCGACTACTAATCTTGTGAGCATCCTTTTTTTTTGGATGGCTCAGCATGGCAGGGGAGGTCGCGGAAACGTGTGCCTGGTGTGTCTCTGGGGGGTTACCGTGTAGTATTCCAACACGGTCTTTATTTTGTTTGACCCTGCCGCTGTAATCTCGTAGTCTCTTGGGAATCCAGTGTACGGTAGGCTGCGGCTGCACCCCCTTCTAGCAGACCCCCACGCAGGTGCCGTAGCCATTCTGTTTGCGGCACCTCCAATGAGTTTGGCACAAAAAAAATGCTCAAAGTCTTGTGAAAAAAAACCCCTCTCACATCCCGGTGGCTTCGTTAAAGGGCTTAAAGTCTTGCGGCAGACTCGGGGAGGGGGAAGCCCACGGTCCTCAGGCAGGAGGGAAAAAACTTAGATCTCGGTGGTTCCCTTGGCTCTCCCTTTCATGGGCCCCTCCGGATAGCTCCCCCGCTTGTCATCTACCGTGGCCGTCTGACCCCAGGATGGCCATCTCCTCCTCCACCCGAGCAAGCCAGGGGCTTTTGGGATCTTGGTTATGGCTTCGCGGGGGAGGTCACGGTTGGTCTGCTCTCCTTCCTTGTGGAGTGCCCTTGGGGGTCAGCCTCCTCAATGGCCCCAAAAACCAGGTTTTCCTTGGCTAAGCCCCTCGCCTCCAGGCGAGGGACAGCTCCTTGGCCCTCTCCTGAAAACATGACATAGTCCAGTTTCTGTACTCACTGGCCCCAGCCTGGTCCGGGCATCAGCTGGCTCTCGTTGTCTGCCCATTTCTCTTAGTGTTCTGATCCCACTGCTGCCAACCAGTATTGTGATGGGGGTAGGCAGAAGAGAACAGACAAAGACAGATGGTAAACACACAAAGCTTTATTCAAAAAAATTACAGTCACTCAGTTGGGGTCTGCAGGTAGCGTGGCAGCTACCCAGTCTAGGGGAATAGCAAGGAGAGGGCTCAAAATAATTGTAATCTGTTCCCAAGGGGGCAAAGTTAGGAGTTTTCTAGCAATTTGTAATCTAAGTAGGGAGCAGAGGGGGAACAGAGTTCAAGGGACAGTCCAGGGGGATTAACAGGGGTGCATATACTCAGGGCTCCGGCAGGGATGCCGGGTTCACAGCAGGCGACAGTCCAGGGGGCGACCCACCTCAGCACACTTACAGAGGGTTCTAAACAACAGGTACCAGTCCTGAGTACCAGCAGTGTACACACCGTGGGGAATAATCCTCCCAATCTTAGCATCAGCATCAGCAGTAGTAATAATCCTCCCAAGCGTTGGGTATTGCTGCAGAGTCAGATAGTGGGAATTAATCCCCTCGATCTCCACCCCAGGGCAGCAGTATTAATAATAATTCCCCCCCAGCTCAGGGGGCGCAATAATAGCCCTTTGGGGTCTTTTTGCAGAGTGCTACAGGAGTCCCGCCTCAGCGCAGACTTTCCCTGGCAGCTGCACAGCATGAAGAACTCAAGACCCTCCCTGCAGGCCTTCTTAAGCCTGTGTGGAGCATCCCTGGTCGCCCCCTAGCAACGGGACGGAGGGCGGCATGCCTCGTCGCGCGGCAACGAGGCACGCCCTCTTGACCACAGGCCGTGCTCTCGGGAGTGCGGCCTTTGTCCTCTGAGGAGTGCAACCCCGGGAAAAAACTCTTGTGCCTGAGCTGTTTGTCGGGGCCGTGCGGCATCAGTGTGGCTGCTGTGGCCTGGACTCCCTGGTGAGTTGCCCGCCCTCTTCCTCCTGGGACATATGGGCTTCTCAGAGACAGGAGAGGGGGAGAGTGACGAAAGTCACACCTCTCCCTCCTGGATGGTCCTCATCAAAAGGCCATGACAGGATGAGGGGGGAGGCAGGAGGGGGGAAGCTGCAGAGAGGGAGAGAAGCAAGAGACACGCTGCGTAAACACTGTGACAGTCAAAAGACAGGTCTGCACATTGTGACAATATTGTTATATGCTTAACCTTTAAATAAAGAGTATATACAAATAAAGCATATGTCCGTAGTATATGAAATCTAAAAAAATGCATCAAAAAGCTATTAAAATGGTTAATTTTTGTTAATTTGTTTGCTTGAATTTATGTAATTAAACAGCTCTGGCATTTATCAGGATATCAGTAAAACAAACCAATTTAATTTACACACAAACATTATTTAGTGCTTTTACATTAGTAACATTTGATTCAGTTTGAATCTTGTTTTTGTATATCTACATTATCAAAGAGCTAAGACAAGATGAAACATGGAATTTACCAATAAATACTTATTGCAATAAATAGCTATTTACCTCTGTAAGATGTCTGCTTTTGGGTGTAATGTTACAAGAAAGTTCACCACATGGGGTTTGGCCTTTAAATCAGAAACAGAAGTCTGATTTTATTGTGGGACTGTTTCTGTGTGCTTATTTGCACTCTATGGGCACCCCACTGCATGTTTTAGACACTATAATTAGACCCAGCAATGGATACACCTACAATCATATAAGCAGGAAAATACAAAGCGTGGAAAATCTGATGGGAGCTCATTTAGACCTTGTTCTTTGGTGTGGTTTCATGGACAGTTTTCTACCTGCAGCTTGACCACACTTAGAAAGCTATAGAAGACAGTAGACCGTTGTGGTCTAATTATTGAAAATTGTGTTAGGACAACCACACCACAAAGGCCTACTTCCACCCACAGCCATTCAACTCAGTACCAGGGGCGGACTGACCATTTGGAAACTCGGGCACTGCCTGAGGGTCCAGGGTCAGTAGGGGCCCCATGAGATGCCCCTGGTACCTTTTTCATAGGCTTTTTTGGAGTTTGGGCAAGGACACAGGGGCCCCATGATCCCCTATTGCCCGAGGGCCCCATGAGTTGTCAGTCCGCCCTGCTCAGTACACATTTCTGGGCCCAGCTTTTTGCAGGGAGCTTGCATTTGTGAGAAGCATATACATTTAGAGCTCTTATTCTGATTGGTGTTTATTGCTGACCAATTCAGAATTGTCCATGTCCTTTAATTCACAGATTCTTTAGACTTCATTTCTAAATATTACTGTTTCTTTTTTTTCCTCGTGCTCCTTGTTGTTTCTTGATCATTTTTCCACACTGTTCTTTCAGTGCTTATAACCTTGTTAAATTGCCTGGTACTGGGTGTGATTTCGCTCCCATTTGCTTCCTCATTCAGGCTCATAGGCATGTTAAGATGACGGACAACTTGTTTAGGCTTGGTCATCAGTTCTCTTTGGTTTTGAAAAGAAGGCATAAATGATATTTGAGGAACAAAGAAAGGGAAGTATTGCTGAAAGCCATTTGGAGGCTGGGGAGCTACATTGTATTTTACTGTATTTCTTTGATAACTTGGCTGATGTCTTGTTAATTCAGGCTGAGGCATAGGAGGATCTTCGACAAAGTGAGGCTTAATTCCTGTGATAACATGGATCAAGTATTGCATTGTGTCTATCTGCAGATGCTCGGATAGGCAAAATGGGCTGATTCATTGATGTCTCTGGAACTTCTTTTACAAAGGTGCACAGAACAGTTTTCCAAATGCCATCACACAGTGGATTCAGTGTTACTCTAGGCCAGTGACCAGCAAGGCTTTTTAAGGCATCTCTGTTCCAGACAGCAGAGGGAAAATTCACTTCAACATGATACATTTGTGAAAAATAGATGTCTAGACGCATTTGTGTATATTTGATCAATATATCATACATTTTGCTAATGCAGTAGTGACCATACTCATTGCAAGGGGTAAAGTTGACATACAGAGTTATGTAGCCAACTGAATCATGCTGATAGAGAAGGGAATCCAAGTAGCCATGTTTTTCAAACAAAATGGATTCTGCATGAATGTTAGAAGAAGCACAACTAGTAACTTGGCCTTTCTGTATTACTGCTCCATTAAAGGCCTTTATTTCATAAAATATGAGTTGTTTGTCTTCATGCATTGTTGGCCCATATGGGAATCCAAACGTTTCATAAAACTCCCTGTAGGTGACTCTTGACTCTTCTCCTGTTCTAATATGATACGGACATTTGGAGCAGTTCTGGTTTGGGTAAAGCCAATAATAAGGTTTCACTAATGTCCCGTGATAGCCAGAGAATTCTTGAAAAACAGTTTCCATCTAAAGCTTCTTAGATATGGCCTTCCAGCTCAAGTATTTATCTGCAAAGACAAGAACATAAAGGGAGAGATTTACTAAATTTGGTGCACACAGAATCTGGTGCAGCTGTGCATGGTAACCAATCAGCTTCTAACTTCAGTTTGTTCAATTAAGCTTTGACAATAAAACCTGGAAGATGATTGGTAAATATGCACAGTTTCACCAGATTCTGTGTGCACCTGTTTTAGTAAATCTCCCCATAATATCTGTGTTTAGACCAGTGAGCCATCAAAGCAGGATTCACATCAATTTATCCAGTTTTCTAATCTGAACTTCTAGGTTCATTTAAAGTGGTTCTAAAGTGTAAGCAATTTTACTGAATTTTTGCTGAACGTTATTCTCGTTTTCTTTTCTCACAGGAGACTCTGAGAGCAACAGGAGCCATAGGCTCCTGCTGCTGTCAGTCAAATCCTGCGAGGGAGTGTGGCAGGAAGTTTGGCCAAGCTGCCTCTATGTGTATCTATGATGCATGGTTGCCCCCCCTTAGCAGCCAGCTT